AAAAATTTGAAAAAGAGGGGAGGACCTGTTTTTTTCTTGGGATTGTCATTCCCACACATCACTTAAAATATGATAGTATTTAATCTTTAATGATACAAGAATATTGTAGAAATATGATGCTGCTGAAGTCTGGCACCTTACCAAATTTTCCTGACACCAAAATGAATTTTGTCAAAATGGATAAAATTCATAATGTGGGCATTTGCCAACACGCAGGTCTCCCCAGAGCCCATTTCTGCTCAACCACAGTCTTTTATTCTTCACATGAATGTTAGGATAGGAATTAAGTGCTTAGCTTAATGTTAATGATACACCACATTTTAAAACTAATGCTTCATAAATATCATTGACATACAATGTTCACTTCACAACTTCACCTTCTTAATATCTTATTGGATTCCTTCATTGCCAGGGCTCCTGTTAGTAAGCTAAAGAAGCAACGGGAGAGGAGGCACCAAGGCCTGAAACACAATGTCTAAGACAACCCTTGATCTCTGTATTTGCTGGAGCCTCAGCAAATGTCCTTAAATCCTGTACCCCAGGCAGCCTCCTGCTCTTACTTGTCTTGATCTACATCCAACATGTTTACTGAACACCTATTATGCACAACACAATAGTAACTGGAAAGATAGCCAAGGTTCTAACCTTTGTAAATTTACATTCTTACAACTTCATTGAGTGTGAATTTCAGCTCATTTGCAGACATTAAAGACTGGCTGATTCTAAGAACAATCCACATCCCTTTTTCTGGTGCATTTCACTTTCAGTTGAGCATTCATGGAAAAAGATTGTAGCCTAAGAGAACCACATAGAAGAATTAAGGACTCTGGAATGTTTGCTTTCCTCTGGCTTGACTCAACGTGTAATGTCCTGAGATGCGACAGTCTATGAAATTGTGAGGGAAAGGACAGGGAAATGAAACCAAGCCTCTGCAGAGCTTTAAAATCACTGAGCTGCCAGCCCAGCATCAATAACTGCCTGACATCACACTCAAGTTATGTGAGAAACATAATCCTTTTGTATTATTTGTTACTCTACTGTCAGCCTTCTGATATTTGAAGACAAAAATATTTCTAACTGCATCAGCAAGCAAAGCTCTTTCTTCTGTGGCTGTATTTGGGTTGGCCCTAATTATTGACCATAACTGGGTAAAATAACCAGCATCCCAAAGAGGAGATCAGATCGGCCTGAGAGTGAGGAGGATATGAAAAGTCACTCCACTGAAACTTCTGCTCTCAATAGAACATTATTAACTGCTCACCTCTCTAGTACTGTGACTATAAAAATGACTGAGAAAACTGCTAATGATGCTTTTAAGGATTCATGACAAATTAATGTAATGAAATCCTTTGTTTAATTAAGCCCTAATTCTCTGAACCTTGACATTTTTCTCTACACAAAGCTAAGATGAAAATATTATAGGAAAAATGAAGTAATATAAGGCTTTATTTAATTTTCTAAGTAAAAGGATTAAAGGAACAGTTGACAGCACAATTTTTATTCCATGAATTAAACACATTCCCAGCCCTTCAACTCAGCAGATTATCACCACCACAGGCAGTCAGTGAGAGAAGCTGCCCCTTCTAGGACTTGGAGGGCCTTGCATACAGAGGTACTCAGACTTTACTAACTCTTTTTCAGTGATTAATGACTTCAACTGACCAGCTTCCCAATAACTATTTTGATCACCAAACTGAACATGGTTTCCCAGATCCCAGCACTGATCTACTCTTTATCCACATCTGTGCTGCAAGAGAGTGACCTCATCAACCTCATCCCCTTCTCCCTGGCTTCCAGTTTGAGCTCATCAATAGGAGGCATCACCAGGACATGAGAGGGCAGGAGGAGAAGGCTGGAACTTGTCCTCCCTCTGCTCTCCTCTGCCAAGTTGCACCTGCTCAGCGACTGCCATCCTTCTCCAGGGTGGCCCTCTTGTTCAGCAGCAATGGACTTGCTGAGATCTGGACCTGTTCCTTAAGGCTGATGAATATCACTAGCCCCCTCACCATTCCTGACTCATGACATTCCTGGGTATTCGGTCATTCCTCACCCATACCTTGTACCTACATCTACGTAAGATCCCACTAATTAATTCTTTTATTATTCTTTTAAAATATGCTGTCTACTTCCTGCCAAGAAACTATGGCAATGTCTCTATAGAGCTGCTCCTGGATTTTCTTCAAGGAACAATTCTGGTGCAATTTTTGAGGTGAAGTCACTCCTCAAACCAAATTCTTTGTAGTAGCAAGCTCATAGTCTCTCAGATGCACCCTCTCTCCTCCATTATGTCCAATTCTCACACTCCCCTTTGAGGCACTAGAGCTCTGCCATTTTCCACACCACTGAGACCAACTCTTGCCTCAGACATCCAAGGGTGCTCTCCAATCTGAGACACTCAGAGCTCATCCATGCAGCCCAACTGACACCCATCCAGGAACTTCCTGACCTATACTAACTTTATCTGCTTATTCCTTTACCACTCCCTTCCAAGAGCATTTTGCTTGTCCAACTGTTCTAAAAGAGCTTAAAATTCAACATCTACTTCACTTTCATTTTTACATTTCATCATTCTAACTTATTTACGAAAGAACCACTAGACTCTTGACTATGCATTTTCACCTCAGCCATGACACAGATCCATTTCCTTCCTTACTCACTCTACATACTTCATATATCAAATTTTTGCTTTGCCTTGCCTTGCTTTTGGTGGATGGAACCTTGCTCTGTTCCCCAGTCTGGTCCTGAACATAGGACAGTGAGCTCAGACAATCTTCCTGCCTCTGCCTCCCTGCTACACACACACACACACAGCACCCTTCTCATCGCTCCTAGCCAGCACCTTCATTTTCACCTCTCATTGAAGATCCCCTACCCTCACTCATAAATGCCTAACATCGTTTAAAGTGCCTGGGCTCCATCTATGTAAAGGTAAAAACTGAAAAGCCCATATGCCAGAGTGCAGAGACACCAATGCATTTATGCTTTTATGTGCAGGTGGACCTTCAGAGATACCCAGCTCTGCTTTACATGATGTTGCTCAGCTTGTCCCGCAATCTTTTCAGAGTAATTCACACATCTGCTACTCTTCTTGAAAGTAACCTTGTCATGAAAATCATAGGAAAAAAGTCATCCCAGACAGACTCACATCACACATAGTCCTATGAATCCATTAACGCATGGATGTCAAAGGCAATCCTGACTTATTTCTCCTACCCCCAGAGGGCTTTTTGCTAAACTTCTGCATAGAGAAAATCACTCTACCTGCAACCTAAACCTTAGCTCTTCTGGGAGTCTCAGCTCTTCTCTTTTTAGCCCCCACCTAGATCTCCACTGAAGAACAGTCTCCAGTCGCCTCCCTTCCCCAGGCTTTCTTTACACTGCAGACCACCTAAGTGGATTCTTCAACCTATTTATGCAATGAGTGTGCTCTCAAGAATCTGTTGTTTACTGATCAACAGTTTCAGTCATCATTCACACCCCTAGTTTACTTCTCCCAACAGTATAATGATCAAATCCCATTTAGAAACTCTTTCCATTCATCTTTTAAGAATCTGTTCTATATCTCTGTTCCTTCCTCTGTGTCAATCCCATTTTTTCCGTCCTCTTCTGCCAGCTTCTGAAATGCTACTATTTCTCAGCCATCAGTTATTTATTCTCTACCTCTCGCACTAATCATCAGAAATGTCAGGCATAGCCAGTGACCAAATGATGCTTCGCAGATGTTTTCTCACTTCAGGAACTCTCCTGAATATCAAATCTAGATTTATGGTTTCCTATAAAATGTGTACACTTGAATGACTGTTGCATTTTAACATGACAGAAGCAAATCATTATCTTTCCTCCTTACTCTTTGCTCTATGAAAACTCATTTACGTAGGACATTAACTGAACATTATCCTAGACTCCTCCTCACCCTCTGCATTCAATTACAGATAAGTCCAGTACAGCTTCACTATCTTGACATGTCTGACATCTTTATTACCCTCACTGTCATGACTACTGACCCAGTAATGAAATAAGCCACCTCTTACATTCAGTATTGTAACTATCTACTAGCTGGTTTCCTGCCTCTATCCTTATCCCCTCCAATACTTCAGACAACTATCAGAGCAATCTTCATAAAATTCAAACCTGAACTTCATTTCCTAGTTTAAGATTCTTTCATAGTTTCGAATGGTATGACATAAAGGGAAAAGTCTTAGGATCAGATTAATGTGCTGGACAATCTTATGATTTCAGCCGCTTTCTAGTAATTATTTACCTATTTAAAATCTACTCTATATCTCTATTCACTCATATTCACTCCACATAACACAATGTTGTGGATCTCTGTTTCTTTTTACACACAGTCACGCTGTTGGGACACCGCCCCTCGTTCTTTGCCTAGAGAAGTCCTATCTACTTGGAGCAATCACTCTCCTCAAGCCTCATACAATTACGCCCACCAGAGTGGAACATCTAGTGAGGCTCTATGTAAGCCACTATGCAAACTAACAGCATGTGCACTACACTACAGTATAATTCTTTGCTTCCAGAACTGCCCACTCTACTAGACTATAACATCTTAAAATCACAGGCTATATTTTTTATCACATACCATCAACACTTGGGATGATCCTATTAGAGTGCTATTAGAATTAATCATCATGTTAGAGATAATGTATCCACATATAAGTACAAACAAATTCTTACAATTGAAATCTTAATTTTAAAACACAAACAAAAGTATATGTGTCTTGATTATAAGGCTTCAAGAAAAGGCTAAGAGGTCTCAAAACACAAAAGAATTTCATGTATAAGTATGATCTGCTTACACTCCAGGCTAAAGGGATGGGAGCCAGATGCCTGAGCAGCTAGTGCTGCCTTTATTGGCAGCTTGTCTCATTAATCCAATCAATTCTCTGATAAAAGTGCTGACAAGGCCATGTCTGCATTCCTTTATCCTGATTCTGATTTTGCTATCAGCACAGCATGGTACGGCACACACGGGACAAACTTACCAGGCTCGGCAGGCTTGGAACGAAAGCCCTGTCTTTGGTGCTTCTGCTTTGTCAGATGCAGAAATTCACCGCAGCTCTGGATTTTCACTGGCCATCAAGATACTTCAATTATCTAACCACGTTGCACTTACGTACCCAGTACATAGTGAAGGAAATTATTTCCTTCCCATTTACTGAGTGAATTAACTTTTGTATATTTTTATCTAACCTTTTCAAAGATCACAAATCCTCTCTCAATGCCAACCTATTTTCTCTGCCAGAAGACAGCCCAGTGAAGTCTCAGAACTTTTAAGTTTTCTCTTTAGAGAATAATATTTACTATTCTCTTTTCTTAGTTAAGCAAAAACTAAAAAGGAATAGATCTATAACAAATGAAAACATTTGTTTACCTTAAACACTAACCTGTTGTCACCAGTTGCTTAGAACTGAAACTATGGACGCCTCTCTCCAATCTGGGAAAACTGGTCCCCGCCCACACCTCTGTGAATTCTGCTTCCTACCTGTCTTTCACAGAAGTACTGGCCAACCCTCTTAGTGCTAATTGAGTGGCCTGGGAACATTAGGTAGACTCCTGGCAGGATTGGTTTAGATCACTGTCGATCTCTATTCCAGTCTTACTCCTTCTCAAGTTTACACTGTTGTTGCCTAGGAAACCCCAGTGACTGAGGGCCCAAGCTGCTTGCTCTGGGAGTAAAGCCAGTGGCAAGTTTTGGTAGTAATTGTATGGTTTCTAGAACACCAAAACATGCCATATGTGTTTTGTAAGGTGATGTTCAGCAAAATGTCATTTTTCTTTTAGGTAGTCCCTTCCTGCCCTTCTATTATCTCTAGAAAACATGCTGCTGAGGTGAATTATGACCATATGCAACAAAACCACAATTCTCAGGAGTAGGCAGGAGCAACAATAGGTGACTCAGTGCCCTACTGATAATCTACATTTGCAAACTGATAGCTGTTTTTCCAATTCTTTTTTTTTCTTTCTTTTTTTTTTTTTTTTTTTTTTGAAGACAGGGATTGAACTCACTCACTACCTAGATGGGACTCATAGTGATTGTCCTGTTTCCAGCCTTCCAAGTGCTGGGATGATAAGTGTGAGCCACCATGCCAGTCTCAATCACCTTCTCAACATGCCCCGTGGGAGGGGAAGGGGGTCCAGCATGGCAAACCAAGAATTGAGCCCAGCCACTGTGCTCTACCTAACCAGGCGCTTTAGTCCACTGAACTATCTGACCTTTGTTTTTCCATTCTTGCTTTCTGCTCTTTGTTTTCTTCACCTTTCACTTCTATTTTTACACTTCTTCCCTGGAAATAAGTTTTCCAGATAAAAAATACTCTAGTGGTCCTTTGTAGGGGAAATTATCTAAGGAACATCTTTTTTTTAAATTAATTTTATTGAGAAAGAAATAGCAATGAGACAGTTTCAAAACAAGTTAGTAGGACAGTTACAATAATTAATACATTGCATATTGTTGTCTTCATAGTAGTTATTCAGAGTACAAGATGCAGACATAATAGCTTGTCTAAACACTATTAGTACAAATCTTCCTTCTCATTGAACTAAGAGAAAGTAGCTGTATATCTATCCTAATTATTTTGTATATATATATATATATATATATATATATATATATATATATATATATATAGAGAGAGAGAGAGAGAGAGAGAGAGAGAGAGACTGCAAAATGGTCTTCCAATTATATCCCCCTTTTTTGTTTAGATTTGTCAGAGATGGGTATTCCATTGCCATTCAAATATTGGAGATGTATAAATTCAGCAAAATAATCCAATATAGTCCAGTAGACCATAATAGTAGTGAGTTATCTGCAGAACTGGCAAAGTCAGAAATTCTTGACTTGAGCCTTTTACAGCTCAGCATATTAATATGATTTACTTTTTATACTTTGTTTTTATACTTTTCTGCTGGATGGTTAAGATCAAGATAAAGCAGGACCTATATAACAAGAAATGTAACTTTTATATCTGCCAAGGTCAGTCAAATCCCCTCAGGAATTATCCTGAAACCCTGTACCTTAGATTGTAGATCCTTTGTGAGTGTCAGCCATGTGGATGAGTCACGGCCATTGCTTGACCAATTTGCTCTCTGTGAAAGCCTGAGAGAATGTTTTCTCTCCATGTGACTCTCCTTAGACATCGTCAATCACTTTCTTCTATGACCCCATAATCTCCTTGATCAGAAAATTTGGGACACCACTGAGTTACATGATGTTATAGTACAGGTTCTCTTATGTCCTGAGTCCTCACTGACCTTGAAGGGGTAAAGCCAAAATGTTGGCTGTCCTTGTAGCCCTTCTTTGAGAACACTTTCTTTTTTGGGTGTCTATGACATCCACACACATCATCTCTACTCCTCTACTCTATTTGGCTATGGAATAATTTAAAGAAAAAGGATTGTAACCATGAAGACTTGAGTTTCTTTCCCTGTTCTTTGTCTTATCTGGTATATGTTTTCATGTGTAGTACCTACTTTCTGAAAGGAGCAATACATATATTTATCAACATTTTAAACTTGCCCTCTAAGGACTAGATTTAGTAAATCTTGGCATTTGTTGAAAGAATTTCCTATGGTGTGTGTTTTGAGGGGCAAGAAAAGACCACATGTTTGGTACTACTTCCTTTGGCTCTCTTTGGAGTTATATGTTATTTCCAAAAGAAGGAAACCACCTTGATTATGGCATATGACACCTATCATCCAATGAATAGGTGATGATGCAGGTAGGGACTCAGTGGCCTTCATATTTGCATGTCAAAACAGACATGAGCATCTTCTCTGAACACTGTATCATTTTGTCTAAAATACCTCTCTACACTACAGCAGAACTAGTGGCATTGAGCTGTGCCACTCCACACTCATTAAATTTAATTATAAGGCTAAACTGTCTAGCTATCAAGAAAACTAGCTAGATATTATTTAAAAATCACTGATAGATAAATCTGTTCTTATTAAACCACTGGGACAGTAAAAATTCACTAAGAACTCTTACGAGAGAGTCTGGCTTATCTTATAGTCTGGTTTATAACACCCTTCAAAGTACTAGTGCAAGCATAAATTCAGTCAAAAAATTTTTTAAAGTAATTGTCGAACTGTGTGAAATGCTTTAGAACTAAGTCCACTTGAACTATAAAATCTGATATTTGGAAATAACTACTTTTTACTTAAAGAGTTTGCATCCCATCTTAAGTATTATTTGTACATGGGTAAATGTTCATTCACGTTTAAACAAGTAACTCTCTTGACAATAACATACAATTGGAATGTGATAAATGAAGCAAGAAAAATTTGATACAAAAAAATCCTCAGTAGTGTAGATGAGCACATAAATAACCATCCTATGGCTGTGGCTTGCTATGGTGCAGTTACATATAAGACAAAAGAATGACTACTGTTAGGGTTTCTATCTAGTTGCCCCTCCTCCAGCCTCATGCAATCATGGGGAAGTTTCTGGAGTTTGTGATTGAATTGTGGGTGTGAGTGCTGCACTCCCCTTGGGGCACTTGATTTTGGATTACAGTGTGAGAAGAGGAAAGGAGCTTGCTAGCAGCACCTCTGCTGCGGTTTCTCCCTTTGCCTTTCACTCTTTGCCACCACCATGCAAGTTTGTCTTCTGCCATGTGTGACTCTCCCTTGGAGCCACCTTAGTGTAGGCTGAATCCTCCACTGTGAGCTAAATAAAACTTTCCTTCCTTAATTTGAGGTGTTGGGTATTTTGTCCCAGCAAAGAGAGAAGAGTAGCTGAGACAAATACATAATAAAAAAATGAGTGACTTATTAAACTGCATTTTGAGGTCTGAAAATGTACCCCCAAATATAGGCTTTCCCCAACTTACAATGAATTGACTTATAATGTTTGAATTCACAGTGGTGCAAAAGTGGTGTGTCTATAATAGAACCTATAGTTCAAATTTTGATTTTCAGTATCTTCCTAGGCAGCAAGCCACATTTGTAGTCAGCCAAGATCAAAAGAGAAAACAACCAATAATACCCTATGGTCTGCTAAATTTTGATATTTGATAGGTTAGTAGTGTTAAAGGTACATTCAACTTGTAATCTTTTCAAATTACAGTGGGTTTATGCTTAGGTTGGATTTATGCTCAAGTAAGTTGGGAGTGCCTTTATATGTCTTTATAAAAAATTAATAGGATGTCAAATTTCAATTTCAAATACCATTTAAAATTCAGTAAATTAAACATTTTGTGCTTATAATTTTTAAATGTGCTGTTCCATTTATGTAGTAATGGAAAGACTCTAAGTCCCATTCGCAGAATAAACTTACACTAGGTCTGCATCTGTGAACCTGAGCCCTAATGATGTTTATCATCAGTGTATTATTCCCTGAGGATTAGTGCTGCTGCTTGCACGCACACACGCTTTCTCCTCTCTCTTCCAAGTTCCCTAGTACTATTTTGGCTTTTTGGCTTGTTTGGTTGGTTGGTTGGTGAGTTGTTGTT